AGTACGGGCATGATAGGAAGAAGGTCAGCTTGAATCTCATGAAACCAGTTCATATGGATTTGAAGAATAGCAGTAAGTAAATTTGGAAACATTTTGAATTTAGATTTTGTAAGATCTTTCTGATTGACAGGTGAGTGTCTACCCACGAGAAGTGCAGCCAGAGAATCCCAACAGCTACAGGGCAAGGAAGAGAGAGTATTTCCGTCTCCAGCGCGAGCGAAAGAAGGCAAGACAGGAAGGCAACGTTGCTCAACCGCAACTTTTATTGGCTTCTGCTGCCGATACCACAGAAATTAACTCGGTTTGTTGATCATGAATTTGCAGACAGTCTTCTTTTCCTTTAAAAATGTAACTATCCCTTAAACTTATTTGTTTATCATTTTTTTTTTTTGCTTTAAATGGGAATATAGGATTGAATTCATTGGATTTTCCGTTTTAGCTAACATTGTTCATATCTTCCAGTGACGTTCTTATATCACATTTAGAATGCTTTCTGACCTAGATATATTATTTGAACTATATAATAAAAGATTATTTTACTTGATTTATATCAGTTTCTCCAAAATTTTGGTTAGATTAAAATTCTATTGAATTAATTTTTAAGTATAAGCTGAGCTCGGGACTCCCTCTCTCTCTACGTAATATATGTTGGATGGGGCGACAGCTGATATTTCTTTAAAAAGTTTCAACAATAGTGCTATCTGAAACGAAATGAAGTTTGTATAAGATGTCAAAATTCAGTTTAACAAGCAAGATTAAGCATATAAATTATGGGGCAAAAGCGTTTCTAACACAAGCTGAGTTCCAACACCAGGTCTAATCATCAGCAAACATTTCATTAATTCAAGAACTGTCTGCGACAAGAGCGCCATATGCGGATTTCTTCATATGCGGATTTCTTCTATGTTTCAATCCTACTGGAAGAATTCCATCCTCGTGTGTGGGCAACAATACAAAATGAAACCTACAATTTCAACAAAAAATATGATCACTGACAAAAATACCAAACTCTTAATGATATGATTGGGGAATGCATCTGTTATAATCCAACAAAAACATTTATAACTCATCCACAACCATACATGTGATATATGCATTAGTTTCATTTCTAGTGTGAAAGTTTCTAAAATCTTCTGCGTCCGGTTCTAAGATATTCC